TAAAACTATGAATGATCTACATTATACCATAGCTGTCAATGAAAATCAGGATCAAAAAGTCGGTGAATCTCTAAAAGTTGTTGAAGAAGTATGTATATATAATGATAAATACTTAAAAATACATAGTCATATCATATTAATTTTGAAAGTTATATTTCATTAATCCATTTTTAGACTATAGAAAAACTTGGTGATGAACTTGATATAGTGGTTCAAATCGTGGACATTGTTAGACATTCAGATAATGTCCCTCCACCAAAAATCAATCAAAATGAACTAGTCAAGCAAGATTATCGTGGTTCAGAGCGCTGTTCTGTCATTAAAAATTTTTATAAAGGCTTAGAAGTTGCATGTAAACCTACAAAAAATTCGAAATACTTTACTGAAGAGTTGAAAATTCTTGGAATACTTGGAAAATTGAGTCAATCACCACACATTCTCCAGTTTTATGGTCTCTCAAATGTAGATAATTGTGATTTTATGATCTTTGAGTGGGCTGAACACGGAACTTTAAAAGAGCTTTATAATCAATTTGATATTCCTTGGACTAGAAAAATACCAATTATCCGAGATATTTGTAGTGGTCTTGTATATTTGCGTAGTGCAAATATTTTTCATCACGATGTAAGATGCAAAAACGTTTTTGTAAGTATGATTCTAATTGTAAAAGTAATTCTATAAAGCAAACAGTTACATTTAAATTTAAATGTGGCATATTGAATTCACCGAATGCAACCGCTTTATTTATAATTGTATTTGAAATTTAAATTTTGATAATCTATTAACATACGTGTATCTAACCACAGATATTAAAAAACTTGATTCCAAAGCTTGGAAATTTTGAGTGTGGTCGCTCGAATAATGCAGAAATTTCTAGAAATCTTTCTAAACTAGCAACTGAGATTGTCCACTGGATGGCCCCTGAACAGATCGAGAAATATAAAGATAGAAAAAACATCAAAAAAAAAACCTACACATTTAATAGTGAAATTTTTAGGTATTAATTATTTAATTTTATAAGAAATATTTACGTTGGGATTTACTTTATTTTCTTCATAATTAGTTTTGGAATGCTTATTTGGGAACTTTGTTATGAAAAAATACCTTATGAAGATTGGGATTTTAAGAAAATAATAGATCATGTTCTAAGTGGTAAACGGGAGGACCTTTCACTTGAAAATGTTAACGATCCTGTCGACAAGGAGATTCAATCAGAATTTATTAAAATAATTAGCAAAGGTAATTATAAAGAGCCTGCTTTCGATTTCTGTACTTAGTTATGTTGATATTTATTTTCTATTTAATCGGCGAATAGCATGGGAGCACATACCACATGAACGCATATCTGTTACCGATTTACATAAAAAGCTTGAAGAGTTGACTATGACCTATCCAATTTCTAATGACACGCCTTTGAACAAAAAAACTTCAACCGATGATAAAATGGATACTGAGGGAACCGTGAATCCAGTATTTTCAGAATTTGAACGTATATCTGAAGAACGTTCATCATATATTTCTCTTGAAGAAGGAATCAAGCTTCATCAAAATAAAGATTACAGGAAAGCATGGCAATGCTTTGTCGAAAATGCTGATCTTGGTAATCTAAAAGCAAAATATTGGCAAGCCTATTATTTATATCATAATGAATATGGTGTTGTAAACCAAGATATCGAAAAGGCAAAACAACTTTATAAAGAAGCTGCTAATGGTGATCATCCCGATGCACAGTATCGATATGCGGCGTTATTGCTCTCTGACATAAAAAAAGAAGAAAATAATAAAAAGGAATATTGTAAAGAAATTTTGCATTATTTCAAATTGGCAGCCAAGAACAAGCACATAGATGCAATATATTGTTTGGGTGATATTTATACCTGTGGAAAACTTCAAGTACAACAAAATAAAGAACTTGGTTTAAGATATTTAAGATTAGCAGCTAATAATAAACATCCAAAAGCAATTAAACTATTGAAGGAATTAGGCGAATTAGGTGGGTTTGTACGTATTCAATTTGTTTATAATTTGAATAATTAACTGATGTTATATTTAATTTGTCTACACAACTAGAAGATTCTATGGATGTTGAGGTACAGTTCTTAACAACTTGATTTATTTTTACTTTATATTAACAACAGTATTTGTTTTTTCTAGTAAATAAATTTTAGATAAACCAAAGCAAAAATTTAAATTTTGAATGTAAACAGAGGTATCTAAATATTACTAATTACAAGTATTTATAACTTTCAAATTAACTATTTAAATGGCGTATTTAAAGATTTAAATCTTTTGATAAATGTATATTTTTAATAATTTATTGCACAATTGTTACAAATTTAAAAACATAGCTTATTACAATAAGCACACTTTATATGTATACGTATTATACTAAATTATTAAAATATCTAAATATTATATATAGTAAAATTTTATCTTTTTTAACAATACCAATGTATCTAGTATATATAAAATATAAACATATAACACTAAGCTAAGTATTGTATAAATGTCGTACGTCGAGATTGATTGTAAGTTATATCAAGTTGATTTTAAATTCAATGCCACAATAAATGTGTTGATTGACATAATAAATTACATCATAAATTGTCAAGATAAAATACAAATTTTTTATTAATTTATTATTTCATTTTTTCGTCCTTTACAAAAACACTCTATCCGACAACCAAATCTCAAGAATATCCATTTTTGCATTATAACGCATTTCCAAATATCTTAGCAGCAATTCGACTAATAGTCGAAGTAAACCTTTATAGCACGTGAAGACTTTGATTTTTGTATTAAGGTTTTACATAGATCCAGCAAATGCAAGAAAACGACTCCTCCTGCAAGATCCTCAAATGACATATTGCTTGGATGCAAATCTGGCATTCTTGGATGTAGTGCAGCCGACCCTGGATATATGAACGTTCCCATAATGACCTTCAGATATAACGAACACAAATTTTCTTTTTTTCAACACACGTAAGCATTCAAGAAGCAATCTTCCTCACAAGTAGATATTATTATTCTAATCATGGATGTAAAAATTTCATGTAATCCTTCTAAATTTAATTAATAAATAAACTCTGTCTTAAGCGATTTAAATTTCAAAACAAAGTACTCAATGAAATAATTTGGAATACACTTAATTTTAGTATAGGTTGAATTGGAATTCTTTAACGACTCAGGCACATTTTAGAATTCTATTACAACTTATGTTTATTTGGAATCTACCTAGGTGGATTCTAAATCCACAATAATTCCATTCCGACGTACGACATAACAAATAAAGAATTGATGTAAATGCAAACAAAATCAATTAGCTTTGTTTCAATTAAGTAAATTTTATAATTTAATTCTTCAAGAAATTTTTATTAGTTTGGAGATTTCGCAAATTTCAGGTCCTGGAAGCTTTTGGATTTAGGTTTACGGTGAAATCGGGTTTCGGAAGCTTCGCCCAGCCTAAAGTTTCGGTTTAGGCTGAAACAGGTGACGTAATATGCTTTTTCCGTTAATGATTTTTTTTTAAAATCGGAATTTAGATGCGAGCTTATAAACTACAGCCGGAATAAATTATTAAAACGAAAAATTCCGTCTGTTAAAATTCGGGTCGGAATTGTCACATGCAAACGAAAATCTCCGGCATTTTAAATAAGATTTGTGTGCCCTGGGCGGATGAAATCTACCACCGGCATATATCTTCCGATGTCACAGTATACAAATTGACAAATATGTAAATGAACGATATTAATATATAATAATAAAACTATAATATTAAGCTTTGTTACAAATGCGTATTATTCTTGTGTAATAGTGACATACTTTCGGAGGCTATTCTACGTACAAAAAAAAAATATTTATATAAAAACTTAGATCGTATCAATATAATAATCTAATTAAAATTTTCTGAAAAAAAAAAATTGCTTTAAAAATATAATTATGTCAACAGCGAAAGAAGAAAACATGAGTAATTGCGTTTACAAAAGTAATTCTGTAGTCATAAGCTATAACATGTATATTAATTTTGCGAATTTACACTATAGTGCCAGAATTTATTGAAAAATTGGAAAAATCTCTAAAGTTAGATGATATAAAAAGCTTCGATTACTCGCAATTTGGAAATCTAAACCGTATTGGCGAGGGAGGTTTTGCAGTCGTTTATTCGTCAACTTTTAACGGACAGATTTATGCGTTAAAAAGTCTAAATTTGAATTTGAAATTCGAAGAGAAAGAGTTCAGACAACTTAAACGTGAGGTAATGTGCTTAATTCGCTATTCAATATTTAGAATCTGGACTCTCACTATCCCGCTATTCCACATAGATTAAGTGCCTTTATACAATCGAAAGTCATCCTAATATTGTTAAATTTCATGGAATCTCTAGAGGTAAGGGTTCATTATAAGCCATATGTTACCGATATACTACATAAGTTTCTCTCTTTTTACGAGACTTCAGAGAAATCAAAATTCGATGATTTTGATCTATATTATGTTGGTATAGTTCAAATTATCACGCTGAAAATGGCTGAATGGTACCAGAATATACTTGTAAAAGGGTTAATCATTACAGTTTACCATATATGCATATTGAAATATTTGTTAGGAAAACTATTATGTTACAATGAACAAAATTTGATTTTGCTTAGTGTCTTATTCATTACATTTTATTTAATTTACGGTGAAACATGGTCAAAGTTTTAATAAGTCTCAAGTATGGACTTGGTTGTTATAAGATTGAGTAATCTTGCAAAATCTAAATCATTTTGCCCCAACCTAACGTGTTTTGTAAATTCTCTATCAAGAATCGCAATGCATCTTCACATAAACTTAACTTTATACTGTATCTTAAAACAAAATTTTAGACAATACGAAGGGTAATTTCATGATGGTGTTACAGTATGCTAATGGTGGTAATCTCCGAAATCATTTACGAAACAAACAAAAAGATGGCATTTATAAAATTTCATGGACCGAACTTACCCGAATTGCAAAAGAGATTACATGTGGATTAATCCATCTGCACGATAAAGAAATAGTTCACCGAGATCTTGTAAGGCCTATTTTTTTTAAATGCTCTAACTTTATTCTAAATTTAAGTTGACAATATTCTTAAATCCTGAAATCTTGTACATAGCATTCTATGAATATTTTAATAGACAATGATAAGGTCCTAATTACTGATTTTGGAATATCAAAACAATTAAATGCCGTTACTACTGGTGCTCCTTCAAGCCCGGGTGCAAAAGGCGTACCAGCATACATAGAGCCACAATGTTTCATTCGATACAGCGAAAAAACGGTCGAAGTCAATAAAAAATCTGATATTTATAGCCTAGGCGTTCTATTCTGGGAGCTCACAAGTGGAATCCCGCCATTTAATAATTTTCGCAATGAAGCTATTATTATAATTATTGCACAAGGTGGAAGAGAAAAAGTCATTGATAATACACCCTTAAGTTATTCTGATCTTTTTAAAAGTTGTTGGTCTGCTGAACCAGACCAGCGCCCATCTTTAAGTCATGTTTTAGTTGAACTCAATAAATTATCAATGGAAACTACTGTAGAATTTATTATAAATCACATTAATAGTGGTAATAAACCTGAAAAGCCTAAACCTTTGCCAAACCCTGAATCATCTACCAGCAACAGCACTGAAACTAAAGATTTTTCGAAGAATATTACGGCACCAACAATCGAACTGACTGAAGAGATAACTCCGGAGATTAAAACACTTGACTATAAAGAATTTAGCGAACTTCATAATATTGGGGAAAGTAGATTTGGAATAGTTTATGAAGCCAAGTGGAAAGGCAAAGGAGAGATGGTCGCTCTCAAGTATTTTAATAAGCATTCACATGAAACGGTCGAAAATACACACAAAGATCTATTTGAAGAGGTATAGTTATTATTACAGATAATTAATTTAATTTATGAAATAGATATGATTGTAAAAATTGTATAATTTATAGCTTAAATTTTTGGGAAAAATTGCACATTCAAATATTATTGATTTCCATGGAGTAACTAAAGGTATGTAATACTATTTAAATTATTAATTGGTTATCCGCTTGGAAACTAGTGAAAAGATATAGTAAATAGTGGAGATAAGTTTGCTATACAATTTTTTCGAATTTAGAATTTGGAGTTTTCCCAAAATAAATAATTTTAACTAAGTAAATCTTCATGTTTCTAAAGATTAGAAACAATCTAATCCGCTATAATGGTAATTAAAATGCTAAAATCGGCATAGTGAATAGCGAGATATAGGCATTTTAAGCGTGACCATACGCTTTTTTAAAATATGAAAGAAGGAAAGCATATTAAATATCTATATCTTGCGACCCGGCTCACTGACTCGATTTTAACCGTCTAATTACTGTATCATCATGACCAGATTGAATTACACTATATAGAGTATAAGAAAGGTTTACTAGATTATTACCTTTAAAAAATTAGATATTTAATATATACAAGAAACATAATTAACTTTCCATTTTTTTACTTGCTTACTCACTGGCTCCTATGAAAATTATTAAACTAAATTTTAATAACATCAATTCATGTGTAATTATAGATCCTACCAACGGTTATTACATTCTAGTTTTGAAATTAGCAAATAATGGCAACCTGAGAAAATATCTTAAAGAAAATTTTTCGAGACTAAAGTGGGGTACGAAGATACGTATTGCGAGTGAAATAATTAATGGGCTCGAATTCTTACATTCTCAAGAAATTATTCATTATGATCTTGTAATATATTTAATAATCTATTCTTGATTTAAAAGAAGAATTGTTCTAAATAATTAATATTGTTAATTTTTAGCATTCGAAAAATATTTTGGTCAGTGATGGACATATGAAGATTGCAGACTTTGGTTTAACTATACAAAATAGCGAGCTTTCAAAAAAGCCACGCGAAATACTTGGTTACATTGATCCTAAGTGTTTTATTAATAATTCATATGGGCGTGACAAAAAATCTGATATCTACAGTTTTGGGGTGATCCTTTGGGAAATTTCAAGTGGCAGACCGCCACTCGATTCTTTTTCTAGAAATCAAATTGTCCTTTACATACATGGAGGTGGAAGGGAGCTATCCGTGAAAGGAACACCTTCTCAATATGTTAAACTCTACAAGCAATGTTGGGATGAAATTCCAGAAAATCGTCCAGATGCAAAATCTGTAATTAAAGAGTTGGATCAAATTGACCCAACGCAATGCATTGGGCCTGAAGGTATGTACTTGAAAATATTTTATTCCTTGCCCTTTTCTGAAGATCGGTAAAACTCAAAAAAAAATCCGGTTTATTTAGAACTTAATACAGCTGTCAAAAACTTAGAATCAAAGACTCCTTTCGAAATATTGACCATCTACTATCCTATAATTTGTAAAATAAAATTTACGGCTGAAGATATTTATAAAATTTACAAGAATGCAGAATGTAATCAACAAGTTTGTGAATTTTTGGCTAAACGAGTAAAGGAGACAGAAAAATTCATAAACACAGTTATAAAAGACATAGGGGAGAACGAAGAAAAATTTCGTAATAATTCATATTTTAGAGCATTTATACGTTATGGAAATACTTTAAAAAATATTGAAGAGTTTACTGAGAAAATATCGAAATATAAAGGTTTTATAAAATTTCTTAATGCAAAAGTGGCTAAGGAAAGTTTCAACAAGTTAACAGAAGGATACGATACATGCATGAAGGGTTTGGCTATCACCAGTGACCACGATAAAAAGGAGGAAGCCCATAAGATCGAAGGATCTTTAGATGAAGTTGAAAAAGTAAGTAGAATTATCGAAAACGTAAAGCTAATTTTAATGTTTCTATATATTCTATATGGTTAATATATATACTTATATTATATATTTATTTATTTATTCTAGACTCTTAAGAATGTTGATATTGGAGTAAATGATGATAGTCAAAAACTTGATTCGTTAGTTGAAAGTATTGACCTTATACAATCCCAAATATATGATCAGCCAAGTATCGTACATGCACAAAGAATTGATCAAAAAGAACTTAGTAATCCTCACGTTAATACCGATCGTGATAATGGTAGTATCATTAAAAAGGTTTATGGTACGATTAAAGTTGCGTGCAAATTCATCAGAGATTTTAAAAATTCTGAAAATGAACTAGCAATACTTGGAAAATTAAGTCAATCACCATATATTCTACGGTTTTATGGACTCACAAAATTTAATAACCATGATTATATGGTTCTTGATTGGGCTGAATATGGAACTTTAAAAGATATTTATACAAAATATGATATTACCTGGACTAGAAAAATAAAAATTATTCAAAATATCTGTCGTGGACTTGTATATTTGAGTAGTGTAAATATCTTGCATCACGACCTTAGGTGCAAAAATGTTTTTGTAAGTATAATAAATTTATTTAAATGCTATAATATGAAATAGCAACTTGTTAATAAATAAAATAATAGATACGAGAAGATCTGGAACCGAAGCTTGGGAATTTTAAAAGTTCACGAGTCGTAGATGGGAACACTAGAGATACTAGCGGAATTGTACGTTGGATGGCTCCTGAGTTATTAGAAAAAAATAAACAAGACAAACATGATGAAAACCTATATACATTTCATTGTGAAATGTTTAGGTATTTATTGTTTAATTAATTTCTTATAATAAATATTATTTGAATTAAATTTAACCATGGTTTTAAAATTAGTTTCGGAATGCTTATTTGGGAACTTTGTTATGAAAAAATTCCATATGAAAATTGGAATATTATAGCCATTCCTGATCATGTTTTAAGTGGTCAAAGAGAAAAACTTTTGCGTGGAAAGTTTAAGAAAGATGAAGATAAAAAAATTCAAGAAGAATTTATTGAAATAATTGAAAAAAGTAAGATTAATTTGAAAACATTTATATATTTCCTATTTAATTCTTAACCTATTTATGCTTCATTAATAACAGCATGGCAGCACGCACCATATCGACGAATAGAAATTGCAAAGTTAGATGATAAACTTGAAAAATTATCTGTAAAATATCCAAATACTTTAAATGAAACATTGCTAGTGAAAAATGAAGTATTGGATTTTGAAGAAGAGGAGAATGAGCCAGTCTACTATCTAAATTCACCAGAAGAACACTTATTAGTTGAAAATAAATAGTTAAAAGTTAAACTTTGCTACAATCGGGAGAAATCGACATCATTAAAAACATTATTATAGAAAAGATAATATTTTAATTCATGGATATGATGTTTTTGAAGAAGATATAACGTTGGATAGAAACTTCTAAAGAAGCTGTCGACTATGTCGTATTGAGGCACTGCGTCAATAATGCATAAACAATAAAAAAACTATATTTTTTTTCCAGCACTTTGAACCAGAATAATGTTCTTAATTTGTATTTTAATTTATTATTCGAATTTACTCAAATTATTGCATTCTTTAAACTAATAATATTATGAAACTCTTTTTAGCTTTTTTATTAGTCTTTTGCCTATATTCACGAAATAACTTTGTGACTTTACCTTTTTTCTTTTGGTTTTTATCGGACAGATGAATTGATAATTATTCCCATTTCTTATTTATACTTATATACTATCTTTTCGCACTTATTACCCGAATATTAGTTAATATTATTTTAGATTATATATCATTTACTCTTTTTAATAATAAAATGAATTAAGCTATTAAAGTTATTAATGAAAAGTAAAAGTTGTTGGTAGTGTTTGTAGTTGATAGTACATTAATCTACTTAGTTGGCTAAGTCAATAAATTCTCATACTCAAAATTCATTTTATAATACTATACATATGTGAAAACCCATTTAAGAGACTTTATTTCATATATAGCAAACGTTGATATAATCAAACCAAATAATTAGTCGAATAGTTTAAATGATTACAGTATTTACTGCATAGTCAGCTGCTTATTTACAGTATATGGTGCTCTGAAATAAGTAATCGTTTCGCTTCATATTAGTAAGAGAAACTAATAATTATCATAAAAAAAATGCTGATTACGTATCGAATATGTATCGGTTTTCTTATTAACCTATGTATCGTCAATAAAGGAATTTTAAATGTAAAATTTATTTTTATATGATCCCACTGTTGTTACTAGCCTTAAGTCCAATAAAAAATTATTAGCCCTAGCTCTCACGTCCAATTGGACATATACCTAATTTAATAAAGAAAAAGGGGATACTTGTCTCTCGGGTGTATGTTTAGTGTCGTAATCATGTGGTTCGATTAGTACACCAATTAAACCATGTATAATTAATTAGCTAGCAGCGTAGGAGTAGAACGGAGAAAGTAATTAATTTAATTAATGATGTGTATGTAACATTAGTTATTGTGCATAAAAAATGAATAAGTTAAAAAAGTTAATTACTCTTTTTCACTCAAAACAAACATACCACTAGAAGTCGAAGTTGATACTTTCGTACATAAGTATCTTGTCTTTTGGATACCGTTGGTCATAAATGAGGTCAGAGAAGATCATAACATATTTCATAGTTTGTAGGAAAGCTCTTGCACAGAACAAATCAATGCTATTACCGTAAAATCCAGAAAATAAGCACCATACCCTATGCCTAGCTTGCAAAATATCATCACTAAAAAAAATGATGAAATCTTTGAACTGCAAAAAGAAAATGGCAATTTAGCCAAAGATCGAGATGACTGAAAAATTGAAGCTCATAAGAACCGAAGAATAGAGCAAGCCAAGCAACAAACCAAATAATTTCTTTTGTACTTGAAGAATGAGACGACTAATTTTCTCTCATTCTACTTGTAACTTTTTTTAAATTTAAGGTATATTTTTTTAAATCTCAGATTAACGGGAATAACTTGAGTAAAAACTTATTGCTATTTACGCTAATCTGAGGTTTTAAAAGTAGGATAGAGGGTGTGGTGCTTATTTCCTGGATTTTACGGTAATTGTTCGTACTCGAAAATGTGATGAAACCTCTGATACAGTATGATGATACAGTATCGGTATGTAAGAATGTCATAATTTTTGAGATTCTATTCTGGGTTTATATCCAAATTCCGAAATTGTAATGGCTGTGCGATAAGTTCATCAACTCTATGAAAGAGCTATCACTATAGTTTATTTGCTTGATTAAACTGCATTGTAGTTTGCTTTACTATGGATTCTTGGATTTTTATGATTTTTTTCGCACATTATGCTAACTTACATGTCTTTGCCATTTTCAACTTGGATACGGATACGTTAATAACATCCACAATTCATATAGAAATCATGATATTTTTTAAATTCGATCTTGATTACCTACTATGCCTCACTGGTGTAACAAATTCTTTAACAGGATCTTTTAACGCAACTCATGATAAAAATTTATAAAAATTATGATGATTCAATGAGAAGTCACGATAATTCCAATACAAACTAACTTGATCTTAACTACATATTATGCCTGACTAGAATAGCAAATCCTGTAATAAATAAGATTTTTTATAGAAACTCTTGATACTGTAGAAGTAACCAACCATGAATTGTATTTTGTTAGTTTTTTTGTATTATATAAACATGCTACACAGTAGCATATAAAAGATTAATAATGGTCAGGTTATTAAATTTGAGATATTTAACAAAATTACAATAGCAGATAAAGTATCTTGATTTTAAAGTTTATAATATTTGATACAGAATATTAGAACGGTGCTAGTCATATATATAATACTGATCTTTATAATCTCGTCTATTAAGGGATTATCTGATAATTATATATTATTATAAAAAAAAATTTTTTATTGTATTAAGTCCAATTCAAATTTATTAGCCCTTTTAACCTTATGTCCAATTAGCCATGCCCAATTGGACATGTCCAATAACAACATTGTTGTCGGCTAAGCAGGCTAAGACAAAATTTTATATTATCGGCTTAGTCAATACAGTCTACTCTTTCTATAACGAACCCTCGGTTCTGGCCAAAAAAAAAGTTCATTATATAGAATTACTATGTTTTCTTAATAGCCGTAGCTCTTGTTATACCGAACTAATATTAAAATTTAGAAAATTTGGGTTCATTATATCCAGAGTTCGTTATAAAAAGGTTCGTTATATCCAGAGTTGACTGTATTTAGAAACAGACTACTAACACTACTTGCTGGCTAAGAAAAAAGGATGAAATAAAGAAAGTAGAAGAAGCCTTCAAAGTTAGACTTCGTAAAATATTTGATTTGAAAAAATTGTGTAGAAGTATAAGAGAATAAATCGGGCATTTTCCGCTTCGGGATGATAATATATATTATATC